GGCTTAAGATTCTAATTCACCTATTGTTCACACATTTTCTCCCAGTGTTTGATGTCAGACCTGCAGGATCTTGCTTTTGGCTTTTTGCCTTGCTTTGTTTGTTGTTTTTATGGGCTTTGAAGGTGTGTATCTAATACCTGGACTTGGGGCAATGTGATATTGTGGAAACCCATTAGATTAGTAGCTAAAAGACCTGAGTTCTAATCCTGGCTCTGCTATTATTATTTACAATCTTGGTTAAGTCAATCAAATGTCAAGACTTGAATCTTTTTCATCTGTACAATGAAAGGGTTAGATTTCAATTTATTACATCCCAACATATTCTGATTCTCTGACTTTGTGTGTGTGGATTTAAGAATTCCTTCCTTTGGACTGCTCCTATAAGAAGACTGAACAGAGGCTGACAATGCAACTTACCTTACAAGACTTTGAAAGGCCCATCTAGCAAAAGCATCTGCAGATCTCTGTTTTCTCTCTCATCTAGTTTTAAATTTCATCTTAAAGAGTTGTCACCATGTGGGACAGCCAAGGAATAAGAGGTATAATCTTTGGAAGGCCTAATTAACTAGCATATATATTTTCCCTGGTATGGTACACTCACTGTGTCCCTTTATTAGATATTAATTTCTTTAACTATTGAGGCAACTGTTTGGAATTTGAAGGTGTAAAGGACAAAATAATAAACATATCTTGCATAGGTAAAGAACTGTAGACTTTACAAAGGACTTTAATGTCTATCTCAATGAAGGAACAAGCAGGAAGGAACTGTGGGAGTAAATGGTCACTGACAAATGTTACTTGAAGGAGAATATAAGCTTAATAGCTACTGCATGCAAATAAGCCTATTGAATGAAAAAATTCTGGATGATTCTTGCATCTCCATTTGGTATTCTCTCTCCTTTTTTTCTTTTACTCTCTCTTCTACCCACTTACCAACCCTATAAAGTGCCCAGTACCTTCAGCCTGCCACTGAACTTTCTAGAACACCCCACCCACCCCACCACAGAATTCTGTATAGAATTGCCCTACTCTGACAGCTATGTATCTGTTGGTCTTTACCAAGACTGTCAAAATATTCCTCATCAGAATGTCCTGAGGTTATTGTCCCACAATAACCCATGGTTATGTGTCAATGGATGCTACCCTGCTAGGTAAAATAAGGTAGGTTTCATTGGAAGAAAACAAAAGAAGTTTATTTTTTTTATTTAAATTTTACTTAGTTAACATACAGTGCAATATTGATTTCTGAGTAGAAATCAGTGGTTCTGATTCACTTACATACAAGACCTAGCACTCATCACAATAAGTACACTCCTTAATACCCTTCACCCATCTAGTGCATCCCCCACCCACGTCCCTCCATCATCCCTCAGTTTGTTCTCTATTGTTAAGAGTCTCTTATGGTTTATTTCCCTCTCTCCCTTGTTTTTTCCCCCTCCTCCCGTATGTTTGTTTTCTTTCTTAGATTCCTCATATGAGTGAGATCATATGGTATTTTTCTTTCTCTGACTGACTTATTTCACTTAGCATAATACACTCTAGCTCCATCCACATTGTTGAAATGGCAAGATTTCATTCTTTCAGATGGCTGAGTAATATTCCATTATAATATTCTATTATAAATATTATGTATATATACATATATATACTTTATCCATTCATCAGTTGATAAATAGCTTGGCTATTGTTGCTAATGCTGCTATAAACATTGGGATGCATGCATCCCTTCAAATCTGTATTTTTGTATCCTTTGGATAAATACCTAGTAGTGCAACTGCTGGGTCATAGGGTAGTTCTATTTTTAACTTTTTGAAGAACGTCCATACTGTTCTCCAGAGGAAGAAAACAAAAGGAGTTGCTTCATAGGAATTTCAAGGGCTCAGGAAGCCATAATGAGGGAGATACTTTGAGACACTTACAGACCTGTAGCAATCTTTAAATCACACAAGAAAAGCTAAGCCTACCAACAGAATAGGCTTTAATATATTGAATAATATATAAATTCATATACTTCTTGCCACAATTTGCCTTCTTACCGTCTATGCTTCAAACTTGTCAAACTAAAGACATGTTATCCTGAATTCAAGTTGATAAATATATTTACGAAAATTATTTATTCTCAATACTCTGATTAACTAGTTTCAAAGATCCTGTCCAGTGTTTATATAACATGACCTCCCTAATGTTGAATTTTTCTCATTTCACTTTTCTTCTGATTATAAAAGAACATATATTGTAAAAATTTAGAAAATGCAGAATAGTGTAAATAAACAAAAGGCAGTAATGCAAACAAAGAATCCATTAGCCAGAAAGAACCACTATTAATATCTAGATATATTTCTTTTCAGTCTCTTTTTCCTAAAAACTAAACAACGTTATATATGCCTCAGTTAACCAACATCCTAAAAAAAAATGTGCTTATCCATCCTATGTATGTAACACAAGTTTATGTAATGACTTTCTTATTTTAGACATTTAAATTATTTCAAATTTTATTATAAGAAACAATGAGAAAAACATGATTATGAAAAAATTATTCTCATCTCTAATTATTGCCATAAAAATTCCTGTAAGTACAATTACTGGTTAAAATATATATATATATTTTAAGATTCTTATACCAAAAAGTAGAAATAGTAAACATGTGGGTAAGTGTAGGGGTGCCTAGGTGGCTCAGCTGGTTAAGTGACTGCCTTCGGCTCAGGTCATGATCCCAGGGTCCTGGGATCAAGCCCCACATTGGGCTCCCTGTTCAGCGGGAAGCCTGCTTCTCCCTCTCCCACTCCCCCTACTTGTGTTCTCTCTCTCACTGTGTCTCTCTCTCTCTGTCAATTAAATAAATAAATAAAATCTTTAAAAAAAAATATGTGGGTAAGTGTAAAAAAAAATCGGTTTATATTTTTCTTTCTTTCCTCATCTAAAAGACATATGACTTTATTTTATTTTATTTTATTTTTTTAAAGATTTTTTATTTATGTGAGAGAGAGAATGCACACAAGCAGGGGGAGGGGCAGAGGAAGAAGGAAAAGCAGACTCCCCACTGAGCAAGGAGCCTGACCTGGGGTTCAATCCCAAGGCCTTGAGATCATGACCCCAGCCAAAGTTAGACACCCAACCGACTGAGCCACCCAGGTGCCCAAGACATATGACTATGTAAAGCAAAAAAGTGTAACACTGTATTGATGGGCTTGTAACAGATATAGATGTAATGTATATGACAAAGATAGCACTAAGAACAAGGGATAAATGGAATAATACTATTGCAAGTATTCTGTATTTTATCTGGAGTAATTCCATATAGCTCCAAGTAGATTGGGATAAGTTAAAAATGCATTTTTAAAAACTCTACAGAGGGGCACCTGGGTGGCTCTGTCGGTTGAGCATCTGCCTTCAGCTTGGGTCGTGATCCCCGGGTCTTGGGATGGAGCCCCCCCATCGGGCTCCCTGTTCAGTGGGGAGCCTGCTTCTCCCTCTGCCCTCCACTTGTGCTCTCTCTCATGTACTCTCTCTCTCAAAAAAATAAATAAAATCTTAAAAAAAAAACCTACAGAAACAAAAAATAATGAAGAGAAAGATAGAAAGTCAACAGAGGAATTAAAATGGGATACTAAAAAATATTCAATTAACACAAAAGAAGGAAATGAGGAACAGAAAAACAAAAAATCAGTTAAGATAGAAAATAGCAGACCTATGAATAAGTATAAATATATATTAATACATATTAAATATGAAATGTTTAATATGCATATTAAATACAAATTTTGTTTTTGTTAAAACACATATTTTGTTGGCTAATTGAATTTAAATTTTTAAAAAACCACATATTTTGGGGCGCCTGGGTGGCTCAGTTGGTTAAGCGACTGCCTTCGGCTCAGGTCATGATCCTGGAGTCCCGGGATCGAGTCCCGCATCGGGCTCCCTGCTCGGCAGGGAGTCTGCTTCTCCCTCTGACCTTCCTCCTTCTCATGTGCTCTCTCTCTCTCTCAAATAAATAAATAAATTAATTAATTAATTAAAATAAAATAAAATAAAAAATAAATAAAAAACCACATATTTAAATACATAATAGGGGTACCTGGCTGGCTCAGTCAGTGGAGCATATGACATTTGCTCTTAGGGTTATGAATTTTAGCCCCACGTTGGTATAGAAATTACTTAAAAGCAAAATCTTAAAAAAAATAAGAATGGTAAAAAAGCAAGTATCAACTATATGCTGTCTACACAAGATGCGCTTTAAATACAGACAAATGGATTTAAAGTAAAAAAGATGAAAAAAGATCCCCCATGCAAACAGTGAAACACAAGAAAGCAGGAGCTTTTGTATTCGTATCAGACAAAATAGACTTCAAGGAAAGGAATGTTACTAGGGACAAAAAGGGATACTTCATAATGATCAAGGATCAACATATTAGGAAAATATGACAATTATGAATATATACGTAGTGTGATGGACAGCGAATTCTCAGTGAAAACTCCATTCTAGGGAAAGAGGAGTGTGAATTTTGGGTAGACAGCTAGCCTTTTCTGCCACAGGCAGATTACTTACTCTCTCTGTAAAATAAGATAATGCTTTATAGGGTGGTCGTGAGAATTAACTTAAATGACTGCTTCTAGTAAGCATTTAATCAGGTAGTGGTTGTTGATGCTACTGTTACTTTCATCTTGCGGCAGACTGCACAATACTCAAAATACTCACTGAGGAAAGGCTCAGGTAAAATAGGCCTTCTTCACAGGGAAAGGAGTCCCGGAGGAAGGGCTGAAGCAAAGAGAATTCCCGCCCAAGTGTTATTATACGATCAGGGACGTGACAGTGGGATCCAAGAGAGGAAAAAAATGTTACAGATGGTTGGGGTTGAGGGAGGTGGGCAAAAAAGAATTTGGATCTGGAAAGACACTAGAGAGAGAATTTGTGTAATGAAAAGATTGTTTGCTTTGTGGTGTGAAATGATGCCTTCTCCTCCATTTGTCATGAAAACATCAGCAAAGTCTATATTACTCACCAGATTGGCGAGGATAAAATTCAGCAGAGTAATAGAAACTCCAGAGAGCAATGTTATAAACAAGACAGATGGTTCTTTCTCTCTCACATAAAAGGAGAAGATGGTCCAGGGCTGGTATAATAGCTCCACACCATACCAAGATCCCTTCGGTTTTCTGTTGTTTTGCCTTAGGTACAGCCCTTGTCCTCTTGGTCCAGCATGAATTTTGGAGCGCCAGTCACAACAACTATATTCCAAGTGGCAGTATCAAAGAAGGGGAAGAACAGGTCTTCACTCTTTCTCTTTCGGGATTTTCTAGAAACACCACACGACACTTCTTAAAACTCAATGGCCAAAATCCTAGAGGAGAAAATAGGTAGTAACCTCTTTGACATTGGCCACAGCAACTTCTTTCAAGATACATTGCCAAAGCCTAGTGAAACAAAAGCAAAAATGAACTTTTGGGACTTCATCAAGATGAAAAAGCTTCTGCACAGCAAAGGAAACAGTCAACAAAACAAAGAGGCAACCCATAGAATGGGAGAAGATATTTGCAAATGACACTACAGATAAAGGGCCGGTATCCAAGATCTATAAAGAACTTCTCAAACTCAACACCCAAACAACAAATAATCAAGTCAAAAAATGGGCAGAAGACGTGAACAGACACTCCCCCAAAGAAGACATACAAATGGCTAACAGACACATGAAAAAATGTTCATCATCATTAGCCATAAGGGAAATTCAAATCAAAACCACATTGAGGGCGCCTGGGTGGCTCAGTTGGTTAAGCGACTGCCTTCGGCTCAGGTCATGATCCTGGAGTCCCTGGATCGAGTTCCGCATCGGGCTCCCTGCTCGGCGGGGAGTCTGCTTCTCCCTCTGACCCTCCCCCCTCTCATGTGCTTGCTCTCTCTCATTCTCTCTCTCTCAAATAAATAAATAAAATCTTAAAAAAAAAACACATTGAGATAACCACCTTACACCAGTTAGAATGGCAAAAATTGACAAGGCAAGAAGCAACAAATGTTGGAGAGGTTGTGGAGAAAGGGGAACCCTCTTACACTGTTGGTGGGAATGCAAACTGGTGCAGCCACTTTGGAAAACAGTATGGAGGTGCCTCAAAAAATTAAAAATAGAGCTACCCTATGACCCAGCAATTGCACTCTTGGGTATTTACCCAAAGAAATAGATGTAGTGAAAAGAAGGACCATATGCACCCCAATGTTCATAGCAGCAATGTCCGCAATAGCCAAACTGTGGAAAGAGCTGAGATGCCCTTCAACAGATGAATGGATAAAGAAGATGTGGTCCATATACACAATGGAGTATTTCTCAGCCATCAGAAAAGATGAATACCCAACTTTTACATCAACATGGATGGGACTGGAGGAGATTATGCTAAGTGAAATAAGTCAAGCAGAGAAAGTCAATTATCATATGGCTTCACTTATTTGTGGAACATAAAGAATAGCATGGAGGATGTTAGGAGAAGGGAAAAGTGAAGGCGGGGAAATCGGAGGGAGAGATGAACCATGAGAGACTATGGACTCTGAGAAACAATCTGAGGGTTTTAGAGGAGAGGAGGGTGAGGGGATGAGTTAGCCTGGTGTTGGGTATTAAGGAGGGCACGTACTTCGTGGAGCACTGGGTGTTATACGAAAACAATGAATTATGGATCACTACATCAAAAACTAATGATGTATTTTATGGTGACTAACATAACATAATAAAATTAAGTTAAAAACAAAAAAAACAAAAAAACTCAATGGCCAACAACTCATCACATAGCCACTCCTAGTAGAGCTTTAGGTTAGGAAGTATAGTCTTTTAGCTGGACCAACAATATGCCCAACTAAAATTCAGAGTTCTCTTACTGAAGAAGGGGACTTATCAATGCTTATAGATTGTATTGATGGGTATGTTATTTGCATATGCTTCACAAGAGTTAGGTCATTAAAAAAGTTGTTTCCCTTTTCTCTCATTCCATTTTTATTCCAGTTCTAAGCTAACACTTAATAATTCCATGTAAGTTTATATCTTATTCTTAGCTCTCCAATTAGATTTGGTTTCACTGAAGGTTTGGTAGGCCTACAGGTCTAGTGTAGGGCAGGTGATGCATCAAGAAACAAACTGCATCCAGATAGTACTGTAGTGCAACAATAAACTTTTTATATGGTAGTGGGTTAGATCAAGTACGACCCTTCACCCAGCCTAATGTTATAAAGGTGTACGGTTCTCAAACTACTTGATCTGATTCCTCATGGGCTTCTTCAATTACTGAACTTGGACATTTGTGAAGTACAAGAAAGGCAGTAGGGAGCTGCATCCAGTCATTTGTATCCCTAGCACTGTTTGCTTCATAGATTAATGGTAAACTAAAGTGAAAGTAGTTTAAACTGAGTCATCATCTCATCATTCTTTGAACTTGGATTGGATTTTATAAGCTGGCTCAGCTCCAAAAGAAAAAGATTATGCTCCACATATTTCCAGTAGTTTTTCTGTACTCTCTTTCCTACCACATTTTGTATCATTGGGCCAGCATGGCCCATGTACATATGATCAGACCAAAAAGAAAAGCTGATAATGCTTCAGCTCTGTTCAATGCTCCTATTTAAGGTTATCATTCAGTGTCATCTGTCCTTTTATTCAACAAATATTCACTGAGCATTGATGATGTACTAGGCACTGTGCTCTGTGCTAGGAATATAGCAAAGAACAAGTTCTTAAAGGTCTTATCAGGCATGCCTTTCCTGAAAGTCCCATCCAAAGTAGTTTCCCTCAACCACCCTCTATTCTCTCCTTCTGCCTTTTATTTGTTTTATTCATATCAACTTTCAGCAATCTATTTGTCACTTTTTCTTTTTAGTCTTAACTCTATGTTCCATGAGGGCCAGAAGATTCCCTCTGTTCCTTTCACCATTGCATCCCCAGTGTCTAGCACAGTGTGTTACATAAACCCTTAAATATTTGACTAACATAATGGACCCTCAATTCATATTTGTGGTTTTCTGATCAGAGTTCAGAACTTAAAATAAATAAATTCCTCCCAAAAAAAGCTTTGATAAAAATCTCTTTACTAATTGAATCATTCAGTTAGTAAGTCAAATCATCATTTTCCACAATAATTCTAATTACTAGTATGTGCTTTATATAAAACAAGATTTTGGGAGATTAGAACAACCTAATCTCCCACTATCATTCTTACGTTTGCCAAACACTGTCAGACTTTATTTCCCAGCAGGTGGCGCTCCAGAGTAAAGCTGAATATACTACTACTACCCACCCTCTCTAACTCAAACCCTCCACCCAAGACTTTTCTTAATTGGTTATAGATTAATTGGTAAGTGGTTACCAATGAGAAAAGTCTTCCATATTTTTCTTTCTAATAAATTCTTCACACTCTTACGTGGCATTTAGATAATCCTTGTTGCAGGAGAATCCCTAAACAAACTCAGATGTGCCATACAAAAAATTCTAAGGAAAGAGTTAAAAGTAAAAACTTCCGTGTTGCATTCCAACAAAATTTAGAACTGAGGAGAGGTGAAACGTAAAAGCAAGATCAAAGGCAAGGAGAAAGAAAATTGCCTCAACTCATTTAGAGATCTGACAAACTTGAATTAAGCAATTGACAGTCTAGGTTATCAAATTAAAAAGTTCTCCAAAACAATTTCGCTGACTTCCTATTACATCAGATGGTCAGAATATGCAATTTTACACATATTCACTATTTTATTAGCTGTTTTATGGAAGTGTGATTGTAAAGTTTTACAATTGGCAAATTTTTTTTATGTCCACATTAAAGCTGACTCAGAGAGATTAGGTGACTTAAGTGAGATAATTAGCTAGTAAATTGCACAAGAGGAAATAGAACACAAAACTTTTGACAACTTCGATGCTCATTTTTCTATATCATATTAACCTTTCTTTTTATGCATCTAAGATTTCTTCTATAGTATTTGAATTGAAGTCACAGATTTCGCTTTTGCATTTTGGAAAAAAATTTTACAGGTACATATTTAGTATACTAGTTAAGAAATTATGCATTCAGATTTAAGGAAAAACAAAATCTCTCTATTCCCCCTCCAAAAAGTCTCTCAGAGTCTGCTTAGAATTTCCATAACACCCATTCTTCTAGGCTTAAGGTCCATTATAATAGTAATAAGTTATTTGGGGGAAAAAGTAACTTAAACCATTTTCACCCAATATTTTAGCAAGAATTAGTTTATTACATTATCAACATTAATTACTTAGCAAAAGCCTAGGAAAATAAGGCAGAAGACTTGGCAATCTTGTTGGCGAGAGTAGAACATGGTCATTAATAGATTCTGGAAAGAAATAAGACACCAAAGAGTATATACTGGATGATTCCACTTTTGGAAAATTCAAGAATAGGCAAGGTTAGTCCATGGTGAGAGATATCAGAGCAGAATTTACCTTTGTAAGATTATCTCTAGGAGGAAGCATAACGGAGCCTCTGAGCTCAGAATATCCTGATGATTTTTACACAGGTGTATAGCTTATCAGAAGTCATAGAACTATATATTTAAGTGTGTGTATTTCTCCATATGTAAGTTATGTCTTGTTTTAAAAAATAAATTTTTTAAAAAGCGAGAGTTCTGAAGTCAGATCTGACCAACCAAGGGTCTGCCATTTATTAGTTTTAAGATCCTACATGTTACTTAACTTCTTCAAGCCATAGAAACCTCATCTGGAAAACTGGGTAATAATAATAGCTACCTTATGGGGTTGTTGCTTGGATTAAGAGAGCTGGCACACTTAGTGTTCAATAAATTTAACAGTCATGATTATCATTGTTATTACTACTAATATAAGTAGGAGACAAAAGAGAGGAGCCACATTCCACGTGTAAGACTAGATTAAGTGGAATATCACAAAAGGGCAACCCTGAAAGCCTGTAGACAGAATTAAAGCATGTTGCCTGAAACTTGAGAGATAGTGCTAGAATAATCTGGTAAATTTAGGCTACTGAAGCCAGATTACCTGAGTTTGAATCTAGACTCTACCACTTCCTACACATTGTTAAGCTGTCCAAATTCCTTAACCTCTATATGAAAGTGGGGATATTAATATCTACTTTATATAGTTTTTGCAAAGGAAAGATATGTGTAGAGAAGGGAAAAATAATAACTTTGTTTTAGAACTAGTAATTTAAATACCTGTGGAATATTTACCACTAAGATAAAATAACAGCAGTAAGTCTTTCATCTTGGCTGGGTCATTCTCATCATTTATGTCTCTATTTAAAAGTCATATGCAAAGATGGGGAGCCCGGCTGGCTCAGTTGGTGGAGCATGTGACTCTTGATCTCAGGGTTATGAGTTTGAGCCCCACGCTGG